AAAGAAAGCAACTTTATCAAGCTCTGCTTGGCATGTGATGGGCTTGCCCAAAGCAACACAGCCCAACTCTTCCTCCCTGAAGGCACAGTGGGAAATCCAACTCCCAGCCTCTGGCTCCACAACCAGCCTTCGTAACAATACCCAAAGAAACCTTTAGCGTGACCCGAAAGCCTGCTTCCAGTAGAAAAGCAAAGACACAGATCCCAAACCCTGGGGATCACTTGTTACCTGAAGTGTGACATCCTCAGTCACAGGACATATTTTTCCTATCAATAGCTTAATTAAAAATAAGGAATTAATAATTTCAGGAGCATCTTTAAAGAAAATGGGTAGTTGATTATTAGTACAAGGGGGCCTTGAAGCTTTTCAGAATAAAGTTATTTTTAAGCACCTGCTCACTCCTCTAGGATCCTCGCTCAAGGCCTCCTAAATTCCTGTCTGACACTCTATCCACTATGACATCATAGCTGTCAACAGGTTGTATAGCCTACCTTCAACCATCATCTTCACCTAACAAGATCCATCCTGACCAGCTGAAGGCTCAGCCTATTACCTGCCTCTCAGTTTGCAGAGAAACAGAACCTCTTCAGGTTGTGACCTCATTCTGACATCAGAGGAGCTGAGCAAGAAGGCTTCTAACAACCAGCAAGATGCCATCAAAGAAGCTGCTAACGGAGGCAAAGAAACTGCCCCATGGAGGTGCAGTCTCCGAGAACTCTTGTCTCCAATCATGGCTTTGCCACAACTGGGATCCAAACAGGAAAGGCGTCTCTATAAAGATGGCATGTGTGCAGATTTCAACATGGGGAGGAACAAAAGAATCTGGCAACCTGACACGAAGCAAAAAAAAATACAGAAACAATTCTGCAAAGCAATACAAGACTGAATCTCAGACATTTTCACATCTCTAGCCTCTCTACAATTTTGTCTGGGTGGGATGATCAGAGGAAAAGGTGGTCCCTAAAGTATCCTGCATCTGGAAGCTGAGCCATGTAAGCCCCAAAGGGTCACTATAATATGTAACTAGGTCCAGAAATTTGTCATGAACAATATAAGCTCCACTGATTTCACTGGGATTTACTCTGTCTGCATCCGTGCCCAATTTGATAACCGAAGATCATGCCTTCCATTTAAAAACATCAGATGAACAATACAAGAACACCATGCTATGGTAAACGCAGTGATTGCAGTGATTTGTATGTGTAGACCCATCTATGGGCACGTTATTCACTTTTATGTTTAGAGAGACCACCTCTTGCTCAGAGAGCTAGTGGGGTGTACTAGAAAGAATGCTGGGGCTAGAATTCAGGACACTTGGCTTCAAACCCCCTCTCATCCGTGGGAGCTCCTTGGGGCAAGTGAGAAGATGAACATGTCACATTATGTTTATCTGAAAAATTCTATAAAGGTCACCATAAAAAGTGACTTGACATCACACATCATAGCAATCTTCAGTGACAGAAGGATACATGAAAGATTCTAGCTCTCTTTCATCCAGAGATCAGATAGATAAATCCACCTCTACTTAGCTCTGAAAGCCTGTGGATAATCACTGGCAAAGTTTCGTGTACACACGTGCATTTGTGTGCACTGTACAAAACTTATTACAGTTATGGACAGTAGAACAAAACATCTTTAACTCACCCACATGATTCTTTAAGCTTCCATATGAACAGAAGCACAACTGCTGATGCACTATTTCTAGCCATTTTGCTTTCTTGGTGAAGAATTATATTTGGCTATTTCTAATTCAAGGTGTTTATCGCAAGCAGGTACTGACAAATAACTTGCATTCCTTCGAGTAGGACTGGTGTCTAGGTCAGTCTGCAGAAGCACATCTGGACACAGGTTCTGCTGAACTCAACAGAACTTACTTCCAGGCACTCTGAGTGTAGAAACCAGGTTATCCTGTTGTATGACAAATAGGGTGCTATCGGTCAATATTCTACAATCCAGCAAAATACAGAAGACCATGAACATGAAGTGGAGAGCCATCAGACTTTAAGACAACAGGAGGGTCACACTTACTTCCTTTATAGTAGGACTCCCCATATGCCTGTTTGGCCTCTCTTGGCATCCGTTCCCACAGGCTATTGAAGTGGTCCGCAAAGTTTTTCGGATCTGTAACAGCAGTTTTGAAGTAGCCTGGTTCTATTATACAGACCTTCACTCCAAAACTGGAAGTCTCAAGCCTTAAAGAATAGAAAGAACAGCAATTACTTTATATACTATAAACCTTGGAATATAGAGTTGGCTGTGAGTGGGTTATTAGCTGGGGAGGTGGCAGAATGGAATGTGCAGCACCTGTGGTGCTGTATGTACAAACTGCCACGAACCTCTGAACTGAGGTTCGTGCCCATCTCTAGTCATTAGCGATCAAAACCAAGTGTGAAAAAATTGTAAAATGCTCCAAAACACCCAGGTATAAATTACCGCAAAAGCCAATCTACACTTGTCTCGGAAGCATCTGGAAGGCTGATAGAGGACAGCTGGCACAGAATGCTAAGAGTTCCCAGGAGAGAGACATCTGGTTAACCAAGAGGATATCTATAGGGAGTAACTAAAGGACACTCTGACACCATCTGAAATAGGGGCTATAAACCGGTTATAACTCAAAGCTGTATTCTAGTGAGAAATCAAAGTGGAATTGCTTGGTTGGGTTTTTTTTTTAAGGTTCTGAGGAACACCCACAAGGATTGGTGGATAGGTACCATTCACAGGTAGGGTATAAATATGTAAGAACTGTTAAGATCGCCCCTCCCCGAGCACACTGGAGGGAACCATGTGCTCTGTGTAAGCTCAGAAACTTGTCTATGTCTATTCTTAGGTCCTACAGGTAAGCAGGACAGGCTAGTTAGTTTTCTTATTTTATGCATGTGCATTCTTTATATTCTTTCCTTATAACTGCTGCAATTTGGATTTTTCTTGTTTAATTGAATTGACTTACTAATCTAAAGCCTTCATGAATACATTACTAATCTAAACATTTTCTTTTTTGTAACTCGGCTTTCTTTCTTCTGTTCTTAATTAAAAATAAAATTAGCCAAATTTTCAGAGTGTGGTGGGAGCAAAATCGCCCTAAATCCAGTGCTTAGCCATTTGGTATCTTATACCCTACCAGAATTGCTACTGCTATACATTGAATTTTGGACTTCTTTGCAGTGCTGGCATTGGAAGGAAGGGAACTGCCAGATTTGCTGGTCCCGGGTCAAGGATTTGGAGCTTCTAGTACTTAGACAAAGTTGGCTGGGTATCTCTGGGGGTTTGGGTCTATGATCTCTTATCATAATTGCATGGGTTTCAAAAATGCTGCAAATAAAATGGGAGACAAGGGACCTCCCTATTCTCTCTCTTTGGAGTTAAATAGGAGTTGATGATTTTTGTGCTCTTAATGTTGGATGCTGATATAAAAGATTAAACAGTCCTCTTAAATTCAATGTTGGCAAAATTGTTCTCATGAACTCCCCACCTTATTCTGTCAAATGCTTTTTCTATAATGCTGCATCTAGAAAAAGAAAACCAGCTTGTTTTTTTGTTGTTTCTGGGAGATCTTCATATTGTCTATCAATGTTTTTAAATCTGTTTTTAGTTTTCTATTCTTTACAAAACCCCACTTGATCACTGTGAGTGTATTTGCGAATGATACTATTCAATTTCCTAGCTAGGATAGAGTCCACTTCTCAAACAGCCTGAGTTTCAGCCCAGCGGGAATGCAATGTATCTCCCTAGCTGTGATTAGACAATCAAGAGAAATCATAGGTCTTGGAAGTAGTTCTCTCATTTTAATTATTAGTGTCCTCAAACTCTCTATTAGTCTGTCTGAGGGTGTCTACACTACCTGTGATTTGCGCTGGAGTTGACACCTTTAAGTTCAACGTATTTTCCATCAATTACATCATGTACAGCTAACTGTGAGTAAGCTTGGTCTCTTTTCTTGGGTACTGATTGCTTTTTTATATATATAAATTTTATTTTCCCAACATAAAAACTTACATATAAGAAACAGCATCATATATGTGTGTGTGTATGTATATGTGTATATGTATATGTGTGTGTGTATATATATGTGTGTGTGTGTGTGTGCGTGTGTTTGTATCTATATGTATATATCTCTATCTAAAAACAATACATACTGTAAAGTTTAGCCTATAAGCCTTCTTGTATAATAATACATTTCTTTCAACAATATCTTCTCCATATTATTCATTGCGGTCATTTACTTTCTATTTACGTATTACAAAGCTTTTGTTTTCCACCATTCATAGAATAGGTTCCAGCTTTCATAGTAAACTGATTGCTTTTTGTTCATACTATGGGATGCAGAAAGGTATGCCAGTATAGGGGGGCCATCCCCCTTCAAATGAACACTTCTTGACTCTCCTTCAAAAAGCATTTGAATTGCATTTTTCAAATGTAGTGTTACGTCAGATTAGCACTGCAGTTTCGCAAACTATCTTATCAATTCAGAATTATGTCAGCTGCCAATTTTTTTTAAGTGGTGGGGAAGAGGGCAGTATTAATGGCAGAGGAGGATAGGTGACCTGTGACCCCAATATGAACTGTAGTAATCTGAGGTAGAAGGTGGACTTTCTTCTGAACTTTAACCCTCCTCCAGTTTTTACTCCACTTTTATGACTATTCTTGAAGTTGTGCCTAGCACTTTTATCAAAAAGACCAAAGGGTGGATTGAGTGTTTGTTCGTCCACTTCACCTCTGCAATCCTATTGTGAAGTAGGTGAGAAGAAAGGTGACATTTCTTCACAGCAGGCTGGCAGAGTTAGGGGAAAACTGCTTTTGCAAGAGAGAGACAGAGGAGTGAAAGCAGCTCTTGCCTCAGCTACCTGTTCCTTTTTCTCAGAACTGGTGCTGTTATGTGTGTGTGTGTGTGTATTTATGCATGTGAAATGTGTGACAAGCACATCAGAGGCCAGCTGTATAAGATTATTTTTATAGTACAGTATTATGTTTATCTCCTTATGCAGCACCAGAAGACAATGTCCAGTGTCCATACTTTATTACTTTATACTTTTTTTAGTGGAGCAGGTAGAACTTTGGGATGGTGACAATAAAAAACCACTACAAATAACTCAAAGGTGTGTGTGGAAATCAGACTGTTCCTTCTCTAACTATTGACCAATTTTTCCTATCTTTATTTCTGAAAAGCAAGTGAATTAGTCTGTTTGGTAACAAACAGCAGAACATATCACACTGGTACATAAAAAAGAATATATATATTCTCTCTCTCTCTGTCTGTCTCTCTGTGCGTGTATTAAAATATTAATATTCTGCCTTTTTCCTAAAAAGGACCCAAGGCAGAGTGGTGCCTTGATTTAAGAACTTAATCCGTACTGGAACGGTGGCTGTAAGTCAAAACATTCTTAAGTCAAAGCAGCATTTCCCATAGGAATGCACTGAAAACCAATTCATCCGTTCCTGCTGTTTGTTGTCCTTAATTCAAGGCACGGTTTGTAAGTCAAAGCATTCTAGTTCCCATAGGAACTAATGCACAGCAGATTAATCCATCCTCTACCACTAGGGGGAGAATTTTTCTTCTTCTTTTGACCTAAGATAAACTTAGGTCAAAAAAAAGGGCGGGCGGGGTGTTTTTTTTTGTTGTTCGTAAGTCAAGGAACGGTTCGTAACTCAGAGCAATATTTCGCATCCGGAGCTGTTCGTAGCTCAAAATGTTCGTATGTCATGGCGTAATAAATGCTAAGAACAATAAGTTTTTTACTATATTAAAAAAAATAATTAAACAAACATTAAAACTAGTAGATGAAAACAGTAACAGAAACATATTGAAACAACAAAAACCCAACAGCACCATTATTAAAAACCCTCTTAGACAGCAAGTGACTAAGATAAATCCTGCCTGAAGAGAAAGGTCTTTGCCTGCCTGCAGAAGAGCAGCAAAGATGGGGCCAACCTGGCCTCCTGTGGGAGGGAGTTCCAGAGTTTGGGAGCAGTGACAGAGAAGGCCCTCTCCTGTGTCCCTACCAGATGCACTTGTGAGGGTGGTGGGACCAAGAGAAAGGCCTCTCTTGACGATCTCAAAACCTGGGGAGGCTCATATAGGGAGATGCAGTCTTTGAAACAGCTTGGACCCAAGCTGTCTAGGGCTTTATAGGTCAAAACAAGCACTTTGAATTGTGTCCAGAAACAGACTAGCAACCAGTAGAGTTGCTGTAACAAGACATATCCAGCAACAGGCAGAGCCGGCACACTAATTTTAACTGTGCAAATGTGCTCCTGGATCACAGCTAAAACCTAGGCATCCAGGCTCAGGGATGAATCCAGGAAGACCCACAAGCTATACACCTTTGTTTTCAGGTGGAATTTAATCCCATCCAACATAGGCTGGATGCCAGTTCCCTGATCTGTCATTTGACTGACCAGTAGCACCTCTAGGCTTGTCTGGATTAAGTTTCAATTTATTTCATTCTCACCCAGTCCATTACTGACACCTAACACCACTCTAGTACTGAAACATCTTCCTGGCATTCAGATGGGAAGGAGATATAGAGTTGGGTGTCATCCACATATTGGTGACACGAAATCCCAGCATTCTGGATAACATCTCCCAGTGGATGCAGACGTTAAATACATCATCTAGATATTAAATAGCATGGAGGACAAAACAGAATCCCGAGGGACATCACAGGCTGAAGAGCAGGGTGTCCAATAGAAGTTCCCCAGCATCACCTTCTATTCTCCAGGAAAGGACTGGGGAGCCACCATAAAAAGGTGCCTCCATGTCCCATCCCAGAGAGGAGGCCCGGAAGGATATTGTGGAGTTGATGGTATTGAAAGCTGCTGAGAGGTCCAGCAAAACTAACAGGGAGATGCTACCCATGTCCAGTTCTTGGCCCAGGTTATCCATCAAGTTGACCAAACCAGTCTCCATCTCTGAAGCCAGATTGAAATCAATCTAGATAATCCATCTCGCCTCTGGACCTGAGAAGCCAGGACTTACTCCAACACCTTGTCCAGAAATGGAACATTAGAGGCTGGCCAATAATTGTCCCAATACGGTGGGATTCAAGAATGTCCTTTTGAGCAATGGCCTCCTTTAAGCATGCTGGGTCCCTACTCTGCTGCAGGGAGACATTCACCAGCTCCTCCTCCTCACTTGACTAGTCCCTCTCTGTCAGCTTTCATACGTCTGGAAAGGAAAGGACCAGCAGACCTGCGGTAGCCGTTACTTCTTCAGGAGTCCTATTCACATCCTCAGGCTACACGTAGAAAGTTACACTCTGCAAACCTTGCTAAAAATATAGACGTGTTATGCAATTGGTTTGGACGCCCTGTTTTTCACAAAGATGGCCTTTGTCCTCTAAAAGGGAATGATACCTCAGTGTAATACTAGGAAGAAAGACATCAGCTCATAGCAGTTACCTGAGACTGTCGGAGAAAGCTTCCACACCATATTTTGAAGGACAATAACCACCACCGAAGAAGGATATCCGGCCCATTACACTGGCAACATTGACGATCCTCCCCTTGGCTTTTCTCAACAAGGGCAGCATATGGATAGTCACATCCACTACACCAAGAAGGTTGATGTCTATGATCTTCCTGAAATCCTCTTTGGTCAGCCACTCATTGGGAGCAGTGGGGACCGAGATGCCAGCATTGTTTACCAAGCCCCAGAGCCCTATCAAAGGGGCAGAGGAAGGATATGGTTAGAAACACAACAGTTTCGAGCACCTTGCCCTCCCATCTACACACTTCCACAGTTGGCTATACTTGTTGGTGCCAAAGCTGCAAATTCCACAGGATACTCTACAGGGTGGTAAAATACAACAACTGAACTAAAAAAATTAAAAATTCTCCTCCTGCTCTTGAGTCACTCATTTTTGCTATCCCAACTCATGCATTTCACTGGAACTCTAGAAAGTCATGAAGGTTGACAGCACAATTGTGAAACAGAATGAGTTTTTCCCCATCTAATGCATCCACATTCTACAGCCCAACTCCCATCGACAACTATCATCTTGGTTGGTGGTCATTTAAATGAGAGACATATGTATAAACCAACAGATTGGGAAAGCTAAATTGGAACAAGGGGGAGCCCTGATTCCCAACCTGTTTCAGCCAGGACACTTGCTGGTTGAACTTTGACATGTCCACAGGGCTAAGCCGAGGAAACAGAGGAAAAGCCATGAACTTTGTTGGAAGAAAGGCAAGATGTGAATATAGTAATTCTCTCTGAAAGGATACTCTGGGGATTTAAAAAATGAAAATGGGTCTATCCAGAAACAATAGAACTGGTTTTTATGTAATGTGTGGGATTCTCAAAGTATGCTGAAGTATGTAACACTGAAAATGTTTTTATTTTCAGCTAAAAGCACGTCTTGACATTCCAAGACACCCTGCCAAAAAGAGCAGTCAAACACTGCCATAGTTTTCACTCCTGCACATGGGAGATAAGTCTAACACTTACTTCATCAGCTATACCATTAGCAAAAAAGAAAAAAAGTAATATTTATGCAATAACTTTTTATGTTATGTTTAAAACCTTGTATTTTGGTTTTGAATGAAAAATAAAGGCCTTATGCAAAATGGAAGTTATCGGCACGGAAAGCATTTGTGTGATTTTTTTTGGCAAAAAAAGAGTCAAAACATGAAACATACACAAAAAAAGCTCAGGATCTCATCCAGCAGTGAGAAAGCATTTGGAATGCTTCGTTCTCACCTATGAGAACAAAATGAGTAATGATTTACACCTTTACCTAAGAATATAAATCATACAAGATATTAATCTCGGGTGTGTTGTGCAGAAACCATGGGAAGAACAGAGAACAGGTCTGGTTAAGCTCCTAAATGCTTTATACACCACCCAAGTTCTGTTCTATTCCTGATGTTTCTTAGAAGGTTTGGAAAGAATCCTGCCTGAAGCCCTGGAAAGCTACTCCTAGGTAGTGCTGACAGTGCTGGTCTAGACCAGTGGTTCTTAAACTTGGGTCCCCAAATGGACTGCAACTCCCAGAAATATCAGCCAGTGGTGAAGGCTTCTGGGAACTGCAGTTCAAGAACATCTGGAGACCCCAGTTTCTTGACCACTGGTCAAGATCCCCAACTTGGGGTTCCCAGGTGTTTTTGGACTAAATCTTCCAGAAGCCTTCACCATCAGCTGTGCTGACCAGGATTTCTAGGATGTCCATAAACATCTAGGGGGCCGAGTCAGGGGAGGCGGGGCTTTGTTGCGGTGCTGCCAGCAACTCCAGAGAGGAGCTCTCTGGAAAAAACTGGAACCCTCCGGCCCGGGATCCCCCTTTTGAAATGGGGATCAAAGGAGAGTCTAGAAGAAGTCTCTCTGAAGCAGATGGTGAGCAGCAGAAGGAGAAGAAAGGGAGGCAGACCCGGACTTTTTTCTTCTGAAGAAATCACCGTGCACGGACTGGAGCGGGCGCCATTTTTTGGCACTGAGCCGCGAGGAACCCTTTACCGGGGGAGAGGAGAGCAATCAATATAAACTAATAATATATAACAAGTAAGTAAGCCGAAGCCTCTGATTTATGAAACAGCCTCATTAAGCTGAAATAAGAATGAAAATATTTGGCTGAAAGAATAAACGCAGCGGCGGGTTTATCTTATCAGTCTGACTCAAAAGCGAAACTAAGCTTCTCCAAGTGA